TTGCATAATTAATTTTCAGCTTTTCTACTGATATCTAAAGTACTAATCATCACATTTCAATGAATCTAGAATTATGCAGAAACCCAATTAGTTTTCGGTAAATATTTGTGCATATTTATCACCTAATTTGCATAATTAACCAATTTCCAACTTTCACACTGATATCTCAGGTACTAATCATCACATATCAATGAATGTTTGTACATGGATGCTGTAGGACAATAGACAGACCTCGATAATTGTGGGTTAAAATCTGTACATATTAATTACCTAATTTGCTTAATTAACCAATTTTAAGCTTTCACACTGATATCTAAAGTTCTAATTATTCCATTTCAATGAAACTTAGTACAAAGATGCTCTAGGACAATGTACAAACCTAAATAGTTTGGGGTAAAAATCTGTTCATATTAATTCCCTAATTAGCATAATAATTCATAATTTTTTGGTTCTAATCACATTTCAATTAAACTTGGTACATAGATTTTCTGTTACATTTCGCAGACCTCATTAGTTTTACACTAAAATCTGTTCATATTAATTTTCTGATTTGCATAATTAGTTTTCAGCTAAGTAATTCTGAATTATATTTAATGTGTTACAATACTCTCAGCACATGGGAGTTCTTTCTAAGCTTTCTTTGATTTATAGGTGTCATACAACAAGTAAATGGATGGGGAAGATGTACAATATTAAGGTTTCATGTCAGTGAATACACTCGCTGTACTGTATACCCTGCGTTGTCCTCATAATAACCGCATTATATTTCTTATACTCATTTTGTAAACTATGGAAGGCAACCTGGAAACAATATAAAATCAACATAATCGGTTCAAGACTACAGCCTCAACACAAAAATGTCTACTCCTCATCCCCTCCCACTTGTGCATTTGGTTGCATAGCAACAAGTGAACCCTATTAAATATAAACATTTGTGTTTAATTTACAGCAAGATAAGGTACAGCGTGGGAAGCAATATGCCAGGGATATCAACACACAGAATAGGAGAGTCCTGGCACAGCAGAAACCCCGAAAACTACCACGTCCCGGAGATGGCCCTGAAGAGAACGATATTCATTCCAAGAGACATGTTGTAAGTAGGCTATATTTTACTTTTTGTGTTTTCAAGTTCTAGCTCAAATCAAGGTCATATAAAACCTAAGAGTTTGCTGTTTGTATGATATGCAGTGAGCATTCCACTCATGTCACATATTACAGAAATTGTCAATTACCCAAAACACTCAGTGCTAAGTGCTTTTTAAAAGCGACTCCAATTGTGATATGTAAGATGAAGTACGCCCTCTACAGTCTGAAAGTTCCTCACATGATTGATCATATACTTCTTTTTTTGTTTATTTTGATTAGATCATCTTTGTTTTTCACCATAAACCCACCTTGTATTACCCAGATAGCAACAGTAAATTTGCATTGAACTCTCCTTCATTACCCAGATAGCAACAGTAAATTTGCATTGAACTCTTCTTCATTACCCAGATCAGTAACAATTTTTACACCATCATAAATACACATTTCATATTAAAGTTGTGCATGTTATAAGAATGGTAAAAGTAAAGGTAAAATTCTAAACCAAAATGTCTGCTCATGTTTTCCAGCTCTTTAAAAATCGTAAATCATCCGGTTTCACATGTCTCAACTGTGTCCTCCATTCACCATCACTGCATACTATGATTTTTTTAAATACTGTAACTGCATTAATTAATGACTTGGTTTTACTTTTGCTGTTTTGGCTAGTAAGTGAAATCTGCAAAATGAAATACTTACAAATATGTACAATTAAAATAGAGCTCTTTGTTTCAAGACAGTCCATACATTTAAAACCCATTGTATATGGTCAAATATCAAAGTAATTTGAAATTTAGTACTATTGAAAATTATTTTCTGCCCAGCCATCCTCTGACAGTTGTACAGGTGACACAACCCAACTGCTCGCTCCTCCAAAATATCAGGCTGACATTATTCTTCAACCTTTTCTAACAATGTACAGTGCTGCTTTTAAGCAACATTACTGTAAAATGACTAATTTTCACTGGGTTTAAATTTCTCTGATTTGCCATTTCAGGCATATTCTTTGGATTTTAAATTCACGGTTTTATCATTTAGATAATGTGTTCTATGCTAAATTTTACATATTCACTGGGTTTTAATTTAGCGCATTTTCCAGTCAGGGAAATAAACCAAATTAAAACCCAGTGAATAATTAACCTTTTTACAGTATTATTATTTTTGCTTTTGTAGCATTTATTGATTGCATTAGGGACTCATATTTATTGGTTTTCTGTCGTCCATTGATCAATTCATGCAATTCTCAGTGTGGTAATGTGAAAAAACCCAAACCCAAATAGTCAAGTGATAAATGTTCCAATGTGTACATCAGTTTGGATGAAAGCTGTACTTTTCTAAGCAGAAAGGAAGGCATCATTAAAAGAAATTTTTGGTTAAATCACAGACTAGTATTTGGTTAATGAAAACATTGCATGTTTTAATAATGAAATTGTTCTGTTTTGACTGTTAAGAAAAGTATGTGGGCGCTATTGTATCATATATGAGATGGTAGCACTTACTGTAAAAAATTTTGAACTATAGCCACAATCTGTGTGGTGAAAAATAATTAGCTTTTCTGCAAGGATTTTAATAGTCAAGGTTCAACTATAATATATTACATACTGCATTTGATGTGAATCCAGGATATCTGTGGATGTAGATTTAGGGATAAATGTATCCATACAAAAGTAAGATGGTTTTGACTAATGGGAACTCATTATATCATTCACTGGAAAACATGATGTAGACATTTTGGTCTAGTTTGTTATTATTTTTTTCTGTAATTTGTATATATAATAAAATATATATTCTGTAATTTTGTCATTATTTTGGTGTTTATTCTGAGTCAATGCAGTGTCACTTCAAGAGACTTTTCATTAGTTACAAACAACTTTATATGTATTTATTTTGGCTCTGAAGTCAGTGTTTTGAAATTTTCCTTTTGTCACATGTTTTCGGTTTTCGTACATAATGTAAAGTCCATAATAAAAATATTGTAGACATGTTTCTGGTCTGTGCACATGCCAGTTATCAAAATGCACATCGAAATAAAAGCAAATCTGATGACAATTTTTAGAGTTTATAAAATAAAAAATGTTTGTGTGCATGGATTTGGGAAATTTAGTCAAGAATAAAATAATTGTGTATTTATTGTCTCACAACCTAGCTGCAAGAATATTAATATTTATTTTGATATAACAGGCACCTGAAAATTACTTCTGCATTGGCTCGGTTCTACCATGGATTTCTTTTGTGGTTTCTTTTGCACTAATAACGTGTGTCACTTATTACAGGCTTTGGTTTATGCTAAAAATGTTCCTAAGCCCCAAGTTACTACAACCTCTTCCAGTACCACCCCTATTGCTGGCTATGAAGATGATAAAAATACCCCTACACCCATGGTTAGTTCGGTACAAGAGTTATGTCACTAACACTGCCCTCTAGTGTCAAGTAGTTGTACTCATTTTGTTTTGTTATATAAAAACAAAAGATTTTAACTATTTGCCTTATGATGGTGCATTACATTTTAGAGAACGCATGAATAATGCTAATGCTAATAATGCTAGAAACTAATGTTGGCATGTTAGCAAAAATATTTGATAGCTTGTTGTGTTGTGTTGTGTTGTGTGGCATGTTTTATTGTAGCATGTAAATAATAACAATAGAAATGTATACTGTAAATTAAGAATAGATTTATGGATATCAAAAAGTGTAAGTTTGTGTAAGTTTGACTGATAAAATTGCTGCCAAATTATATATCTATGTGTAAAATATTGCGTCCAAAGTTTTAAGCTTTGACACGGAAAGAGTCGTTGGCCTGAGAAATACCTGCTCAAAACTGTTCCCAATATCATTTATTTTTATCATTCGTTAGCACTTGTCGTAATATAGACTATCGGCTGAGTTTTTGAAAGGTGTATAGTTAACAAAGGACTTTTTTTAAACATTATAGAATGTAATTAATTAATTATTCATGAAGTTATTAGATTCAGATCAATTTAATAAGTAAAGACAGACTAGAATAACGAGATATGTATTTATTACTGTTGTGACATTGAAATAAGAAGGTAACGTTGTTGGCGTTTACACTATTTTTATTGTTGAACAATGTTAGTAAATGGTGGATGGCATGCAACATGAGTGGTGAAAATGACCTTATGAGTGGTGCCTATGTTGACATTAGTGATGCCAAGCATGATGTGAGTGGTGAAAATGTTGACACAAGTTGTGCAAATGATGGCATGAGTGGTGCAAATATTGACATGAGTAGTAGTAGCTGTAGTGAGTTCTACGTGTGCTCAAAATTGTTTCATTTAAAACTGCGCATACACACACAGTGATTTCTCAAAATGCATACTAATTAGGTAGCAAGCTGGTAAAAGTTACTAAAAACATTTTGAGCAATGACAAAATCATAAGCAATGAAAAGATCTCAGTAAAATTAAGCCTGATAGCATACATGAAAGTTTTAAATTGAGTATTAATTTATGCAAATGAGATGATTATTTCAACCAATCGTCTCATTGTGGAAATGTTGACATGAGTGGTGCAAATGTTGACATGAGTGGTGCAAATGTTGACATGAGTGGTGCAAATGTTGACATGAGTGGTGCAAATGTTAACGTGAGTGGTGCAAATGTTAACATGAGTGGTGCAAATGTTAACATGAGTGGTGCAAATGTTAACGTGAGTGGTGTAAATGTTAACGTGAGTGGTGTAAATGTTGACGTGAGTGGTGTAAATGTTGACGTGAGTGGTGCAAATGTTGACGTGAGTGGTGCAAATGTTGACATGAGTGGTGCAAATGTTGACGTGAGTGGTGCAAATGTTGACGTGAGTGGTGCATATGTTGACGTGAGTGGTGCAAATGTTGACGTGAGTGGTGCAAATGTTGACGTGAGTGGTGCAAATGTTGACATGAGTGGTGCAAATGTTGACATGAGTGGTGCAAATGTTGACATGAGTGGTGCAAATGTTGGCGTGAGTGATGCAAATGTTGACGTGAGTGGTGCAAATGTTGACGTGAGTGGTGCAAATGTTGGCGTGAGTGGTGCAAATGTTGACGTGAGTGGTGCAAATGTTGACGTGAATGGTGCAAATGTTGACGTGAGTGGTGCAAATGTTGACGTGAGTGGTGCAAATGTTGACGTGAGTGATGCAAATGTTGACGTGAGTGGTACAAATGTTAACGTGAGTGGTGTAAATGTTGACGTGAGTGATGCAAATGTTGATATGAGTGGAGTAAATGTTGTCGTGAGTGGTGCAAATGTTAACATGAGTGGCAAATGTTGACGTGAGTGGTGCAAATGTTAACGTGAGTGGTGCAAATGTTAACGTGAGTGGTGCAAAATGTTAACGTGAGTGGTGCAAATGTTGACATGAGTGGTGCAAATGTTGACATGAGTGATGCAAATGTTGACATGAGTGGTGCAAATGTTGACATGAGTGATACAAATGTTAACATGAGTAGTGCAAATGTTGACGTGAGTGGTGCAAATGTTGACATGTGTGGTGAGAATGAAATATTCTGACGACTGAAACACTAACGACCTAACAGATAATGCTGTAGTGCATGTGTTTCATCGTTAATTTGAATAATAACCGTAATCACTAAATGCATGCATATGAATGATTAACACATCACTGTACTTCACTCATACAACACACATAGAACTAACCAGATAGCAAACTCTGTCTCCACTGGCCATACCCTTGTAACACTTCAATACTGTCTTCATAGCATTTTCACAAACAAAACATCATTATAGATTGGCCATGCTTTAATCAACTTAAGATGATGTACCAAATCTGTAATCTTAATTTATGCCAATAGTAGAAATATCTCAATGCAAATTTTTTTCTTTTTTTTGTTTCAGCATGGATGTTGTTTCATGATTTATTCTTTGTCTTCGAATACAAATTTTGGGCCTTCTTTGTGTCATATGCCTGTTGTCAAAATACTGATATTTATATATGTTTGACAAGACCATTATAATATGAAACTAGATTTCACATATATGCATTTTATTATGTTCACTTGTATATAGAGTTTTGTTTGATTAACCTAACAAATTTCAAGGAAGGGAGGACTATACAAATCTGGAGGGAATGGCATCCCATAATGCAATGGAACAGTCCCTGAGACTGTCAGGCTCATCTTTTTTGCATGAATCTTTTATTCTTTTCAGTCAAAACTAAATTCTTCTTAGTCATGTCTGCTTGTAAAGAACTAATGCAAAGCTATGATCAAGCAACAATTAGTAAAGTGTATCATTAATCAATTCTTCTATATTTGCTATAAATATGTAGTGCATGTACTGTTTCATATTTATGTTCATGTTTCATGTCATGTTCATTCCATCAAACAATATTATTCTAGCATTTGTAGTACAGAGATTTGTTCACTGTAGCATGATATATATATATATATATATATATATATATATATATAATATGGGTCATTTTGTTATAAAATGACAGAAATGGAATCTTTTTTTCTTTAGTTGAGTCATAGTTTTAACCATTTGAACACCAATATCAATTTTCTAGCTCATGCATTTTATTTGCTGTTTACCTGGTTCCTGGCATTTTGATGAGCTATCAAACCCTTACACAAACAAAATAAGAATGTTTTTACACCAGAGTTTCTAAGGTATATTCAATAATAATTTGGCGAATACGGCATGCAAAAATCAATTCATTCCACAATTTGCGAGTCAATTCCAAGATTTTGTGTGATTGGTTACCCAACCCATACACCTGACAGTGAGACCAATCAGAGAGCAGTTTTATTTGACAGTTTTTTTCATGGTATCCAATCCTGCCTTGACTCAACTGCAATTTGAAAGTAAATATATACTCAGTGTAATTTTGAGAGAGATTAGAATACGTGAATGCAAACAAAATGTTAACTTGATTTTTTTTTCTCTTTTAAGGCTATAGAGTATTCCAAAAAACTGCGAAAACCGCAAACAGTGAATGGGCAGAATACTCCACATAGAAATTCGAGTAAGAACTCAGAACGTAGTCCAAGTAAATACAGTCAACTAGACGAAGACATGGCAAAACTAGAAGAACTACAAGCCAGACATGAACGAGAAAGACAGGAAATTGACAAACTTAAACAACAAGTCAGTGCACCTTCATAGCGAAGATAAAGTACATAATTTGAAGTGATCCATCCAGTATTGACTCTGATTTATATATGACCACTTATCAGTGACAGTGTTTTTTTAAAAAAATTCTATGAATGACCAAAAATCAGTTAGTCAACATTTATATAAAGTCAACTTCAGCATCATCAGAATCTGTACAATTAATTCCAGAATCCAGTTTGTTATTAAAAATATCGACTTACCGGTAAATCCAATTTTAAAATAATTTTGAACTAACTAACTTTAGAATCCTTGAAATCAATTTGCAGGTTTGAATATCGGTAACATAATTTATGATTTTTTGGCCATTAATTCAATGGCCAATATACTGACATGTTATTCAAAGTTGATCTGATTAAAAAAAAAATCTTTGGTAAGAGTGAAATGGGTTGAAATATTATATATTTTTTTTAAATTAATGTTTTTTTATATATATATTTTTAACATTAATTGCTAAAATTATTCTTTTTTGTTCAATTATTCTATCCCCATGAATGGACAATATTCAAAAAAGAATAGTTCCAGCAATTGATCATTAGTAACAAATAAATAAATTTAACAAATTTAAAAATAAGAAAGAAATGTAAATGAACCAACAACCCATCAACAAAGATCTTATTTTAAACGATAGAATTAATAAAATGAGCTTCATACCTTAGAGTCACTGCGTTGTAAAAATTTGTAAATTCAATGTACAGAAAGAAATTATTATATTTTTATGTACGAGAATGTTAGCAGTTGAGTCTGAATTGATTCTGAATATGAACAAAAGATGTGAACTTTTCCTTAAATATGTAAATAAATCTTTGTATATTATTTTGTATGTACATTTCATCAATTTTTAATTGTTCATGAATTTCTGGAGCAGTTATTTCTAGAAGTGTCTTATTTTTCATGTTTTATTTGAGAACCAAAGATTGTGTGCCCGCACATTTTTGCATAATGTTCCTATATTGAATTTATTAGCATTATGCAAATAAAACTACTACCATGTTTGGCATTAATCAAATGTAGCTTCTACCATATTTGGAATTATGCAAATATTCCAGGTGCTGCTGTCTTTATTTGGTCATTGTGTGATACCCTTCTTCAGTGTTATGTTAATGTTTTCATCATCACAGCAATACAATATTTTACATACTCCTATAAAGCAAACAAAGTGTCTGGTTGGATGATTTCAGTCTAATAAAGGCAGTAGCTGGTTTTAATTAACACTTTCTCACTCAAATGAAAGTTTTTATACTTGATTGTGTGAACAGAAATAACCAAGATTATCGTGTATTCAAATATGAAATACATAATGCAAACTTTGTGAAGACTAGTAAGTCAGGCCAAGATGAATACTGTGGAATACTTTATTTTCGCTGGAATTAATTTTTGCTGAAAAGGCTTTTTGGGCATTTTGTATGGAATTTATTTTCACTGATTTTTGATGAGTTTAATGTGAAATATAGGAAAAAAAGTATATTCGCTGGATTTTATTTTCACGAAATCATCCTTTCAGCGAAAATAGCAAAAATAAATTCCAAGCGAAAATAAAGTATTCTACAGTACTTACCAGTTGTTTCACATTCTCCCTGTTTTGCTTTAGTATTTCAAGAAATATGTCATCTCGTACTTTGCAGAATTCTTACGAGATCTTCATCAAATATCACACCACATGCATACAGACTTATAAATGCCTTGGTGTTAGTTTTTATGTGTTTTGTGTAAACAAGTAGAAGGGCACATTTTCATTATTAGACTTGTACGAATCAATTAAGATTCCGTCCCATTTCTGATTAGCCAATCACAGCAGTGCCATTCAAATATTTTATAATCCCATTGAAATGTGTATATATTCTATTTAAATGATATTTGTGAAGAATAATCATAAATTTTGTTTTCTGTGTGTAGTTTTAACTTTTATTTGTAATCATATTTAAGTTATTCATAATTATATACTTTTGTTTTTAAACAAAACAAACATTGCGATTACATTTGAAACTTTTTGTTGTGCAAGGTTTGTGTGTGCGATTTGAATTTGTGTATTTAAGAAAATGAATTTCTTATTTTTTTTTTTCTTTTTGATATAGACCTTGGGTATAAGGTATATAAGAATGTTAACTTCTAAACGAGCCTTTATTAACTAAGACAAGTTGAATATTGACAGTACTCTGTATCTATATGACAAAGCATTAATGAAATGCAGTCAACTGATTTCAACAACAATTAAGGAAATAGCTTTTGACCTTTAATAACATTGACCACAACATTCACTGAGTAAATACGACCATAAAAAAAAGTTAAAGTTTTTTGGCTGGAACGTTTATGGACTAATTAACAAATTCCTGGATCCAGACTTTATATCGTTGGGCTAGTAATTCTACACAATAAATGCTGCAATAAATGTCACTAGAAAGAATACAATGCACTTTGGTAGAAACTCTGGCAGATATTCTATTTTCGTAAAGAATTCCATAATGAGTGACATCACACATCTGCCAAGTGTCAGTGATATGTGAAGATTTCAAGGCTTGCACTGCCAACCTACCTGATTTTATTGACACTGATTTCATCCCTGATGACAACATAAACAGTGGTGCAGATCTTCCTCTTTTCAACCCCAGTAACACTGTCTTAAATAACTTTGGTAAACGTTGTCTTGACTTGTGCAAGCATGCCATTTTTTCTCAATACAAATGGCAAGTATTTCAAAGAGTGGCAGTGGTTATTTTGCTTTTCTTACTGGGGAAGATGGTAGTGTGCTTGTCTATCTTATTATCACGTGAAATAATATCAGTTACGTATGTAGACGACAGCTGAATTCAATCACTCAATATTGTTTTAATTTACGTTAATTTTTAAACCTCTGTCAAAACAAATAATTGTTCTGTTTTTAATTGTAAGTGGAATAACAACCTGCGAGATTTGGTGTTGGAGTTTTGGAAAGCAGATGATTGCGACAAACTAATAACAAAAATACTATGTATATTGACGATGGTCAAATCGATTCAGCTGTGAATATTTATTTAACACCCAAAGAATTATGACATCGAATTTGAGGACATTTACAGTGAAATGAAAGAATACGTTAATGCAACATTCTCTTTAAGGTAGCGAGACTATTATTTGCATACTTGTTTTCATCTTCTAATTGTGACTAAATGACTACAAATAGACCCGGGAAAGTATATATTTTTAGAATCGCCAGACTTCAAGCTTTTCACAAGTGTATTTTGCATGCCCGTATCTGCATTCTACGACACGTTACTCAATCAAAGGTGAAAAATTACTTTTTCTGTAAAAAAAATAATTACGCATTTACGCTGGCGATAAGAAGTATTTTTTTTCACTTTTCCTAGTTGTTCAATAGTCTGGTAAATTGAATGTGTCTGGTCAGTTTTATTCAAGCAACGCGTTTTAAAAAATAGTGTGCTGAATTTCAATTACTGTTTTAGTCACATTGCCCCCAACTCAAACCACAACTCGTTTGTAAATAACCGATGAAATAGTTTGTCTGGACACATTCAAGTTCCTCTCATTGTCACCTTAAATCTGTGAAAATTTGGTGTTAATCCGACGA